TTTTTTTTTTTTTTTCTATACACAAAACAATTTTCTATACACGCAACATTCTTCTCCATTGTGCGACTGATGAATGGCTATGATTAATTGAAATTTTGATTATAGAGGTTTGATCGTGAGATTAACCTATTAATGCAATATTTCCCTATTACAGTGCTCTGTTCGAACTAAACACACCACCAAGTCCGGGTGCAGTGTCTCTGGAAGAAACCGACAGAGAAGCCGAGAATGCTGGCGAAGGGGAGGAGACACCGAAAAGACGATCGACCTCGCGCAGTAGGCCGCAGAGTCATGCTCTTTTAGGCAGCTTCGAGGAATCAGCTTTGAATGGTAGACTGGAACCTGTGTCCACCGTTCATGGTTTCACGGCGGAACTAGGTGCCAGTGGTTCATTCTGTCCAAAACATCGAAAGCTTCCAGTCACTGTGTTCTTCTATACGCTCGGTGACAATGATAAAGTTTCTACGCCCTATCTCGTACGTACGTTTTATATCCCTTTTACTTCTGTTGCACCATATATATAACAGATTTTTTTTTTCTTTTTCTTTTATTAAAAGGAATCTTTTGTTGTTATTGTTATTTTTGTTTGAATGATGTATCAAGTTGATGCAGTTGAAGTTGAACTTTATCAATTACCAAAGAAATTTTACAATAAGAATTTCGGAACCTTATTAACGAATGATTAAAGTTTCATTGAGAAGAAGTATCCTGGAAATTATATTTAACGTTCAGGGAAGATTAAAGACATCTTTCATTCCACTTTGACAGTTTTTTAATACATGAATTAGGTAAAAAGTATTGCAAATGAGGGACACTGTATCAGCTCTGTTCCAAAGATAATTCTTTCGATAAATTTTCAAATTTGTCAATTTGGAAAAGTATGTTAAGTCATCTAAGAATAATTAACGTTTGACATTTCAAATTTCACGTGCATCAACTTAGTGTTTAGAGGTGTAATACGGAGCATTGATGAAACGAATCCTGTTACTTTTTGCCTAGGCACATATTAATTTGGGCAAAAAGGGCTACCAAGTACCAAGAAGCGGTACTATTCAAGTAACGCTTCTCAATCCTTTGGGTACAGTCGTTAAGATGTTCGTAGTACTATACGATCTTTCTGATATGCCACCACGATCTCATACTTTTTTACGTCAGAGAACACTTCGGGACAAAACACTACGCTACCTCGTACATCTTAGGTGCGTACATCTCTGTTTCTATTAGAGACATTGAAAATTTTGTCCATTTTGTAATCTTTGAAATTTTAATTAAATATAAATACGATAATGTCATCGCCTGTGGTTAATTGAAATTTCAAAGCTCACGATCAGTGTTCCTAACAATAATCGAGGCTTCCGTTTAATGAATAATTTCTATTATCGGAACGGAGAGAAAATACGGATAGTGATTACTGTAAAGTTCAGTATAGATATGCCTCTTGGATAATTAGATTAGATTAGATTAATATTGTCAATGATATATTTAGATATAAATTCTACAATCCTAAAAAAAAAAATATATATATATATATCTGTACAACTCGTTGATATTATCAATCTCAAAATCACAATACAAGAAATCCTTGGAAGCCACGATTACTGCTTTATATCTCGTTCTTAGACAATCCTTCCGTCTGTGAAAATTCTTGCTTCTCCGTTGTATTTTTCCAGGATCGATTTTTAGCTTCGTGCGTGCTCGCATGCAGCGCGAGATCCTCCGTTACAAAATTAAAAACCGACCATTTCCTTTCAGATTTATGTCCGGTAAGTCTGGCCGGATTTATTTGCATACGGACATTCGTATGATCATCTGTCGCAAGTCAGACGTTGACACGGCGTCAGATTTCGGGTCAGAGCCACCGAAGGAACTACGAAGCTACATCCACGGCCCTACGAACCCGAAATTTTCGCCAAGGTGCTGAGCCACGTGGCTCTTTCCATGGGGTTGCTGTCAGTCACTCCGCTCGCCTAGTCCCCTTCGCGCAGAGGTTTAACAAGGATCAATTTGTTTTTTTTTCTTTGCCTGAGATTTCCCTCAGCCACGCCGACTTACACGTAAAAAAGAAGATTCATAGATCTTTGACAGAGAAACCTTTTCACCATTACAAAAATACAAATCGTGAAGGAGGAATTCGATGGGAAACCTTTGTGGAAATGGTCTTTTCGAGAGGAGGAAAGATTGTAAAAAAAAGATGTATGGCTAGGTTGAGAAAGATTTTTCTAGTGCAGTATACTACAAAGATTTTCCTTCAAATTCTCACGTTACCTTCTCGTCTCAAAATCCTATCCAACTAAAAATCCATGATCTCGTTTGAAATTTCTGTGCAACAACGGAACTAAAATCAAAGGAACCTTCACGAGCTGATAAACCCTTTTCCTCTTTCCTTTGCGTGAGAAAAAGAAAGGAATGAAATTGCAATCAAACTTGCAAACTTGACTCTATACTCAACAATTTGAGACTTTTTATTTCTCCCTTCTCTCGATACCTCAGAAAACCTTTCTTTATACCTTCTTTATACTCTTTCTTTCGTCTGAAAAGCATGAATTCAAAATATGAATACATTGGATCATTAATGTACGCTTCTCCCTCTTTCGTTCCCTCCCTTTCTTGTTCCAGTTTCGTTTAAACGATAACGAGAGCCTTGATATTTTGCATATTCTACGGTTGTGTTAATTGTTTTTTTTTTCTTCTTCTTCTTCTCTTTAAATGTAGTGTTACCCGCATATGACAGTATCGTTCTGTTGTATTCTTAAAGAAAATTCTTACTCGAAACTTTACACATGACTTATATCCATAGTGACACGTATCAAGAAGATGGCTTTCCAAGAAGATCATCGTTATCTATCAATTAGTTACAGTTACAGTATATTGCCGAATTCTTACCGAGACATTCATATTTTGAAATGTTTTTGAGACGAGAAGGCAGCCAGAAAGGAAAATTTTCTAGAGATAGAGTTTTGAGGAAAGAAAATAAAACGTCTCAGATTGATGAGAAAGAAGGTGTATTTTAAGGAGAATAATGATAATAACATTATTATAATAATAAGAATAACAACATTCTTACTGGAGCGAAAGTAAAAATTGTTTAGTTAGAATTTATTTTCCCTTCTTCTCGTGTTTTGTTATGGAAAATGTTGGTTCGACCACGAATTTATTTTCAGTTCCGCTGTTGTATAGAAATTTTTACTATGTTGGTGTATATGAAATGTTATTTATTTGAATTTTTCACCAGCAAGTATTGCTTATTTAAGTTAAGAAACTAATTTTCGTCAGTTGAGGAACTCAATAAAACACAGACAATTTAATGCAATTATTTAACAATAATAATTATATGTCACAAATTCCATAGTGATTTTGAACTGCAGTATACACTTAACCACAAGAACAAGAATATTCGTCAGAAAAGTCAGAGAAATTGCTGAAAACGAATAAATTTAAGTGGATAAAAGACATCTTCTATTCCGCTCAGATGATTCTTCGACGCGTAAATGATTTGAAAAAGATCGGCAACAACATTGATAACTCTTACAAATTTAGAATAATGAAATTAGTTGATCATAAAAAAAAAAAAGAAAAAAATATCTTTCATTTTTTCGTTTGAAAGAACATTTCATATGCATCAATAGTTGAATCGAAATGAATACTATTTTTAGTTGAATTCGTGGGCTGAGTAGTGCGTGTCAGGATTTTTCTCAGCGACGTTCGTCGCTTGGAATTTTGTGTCTTTCATACTTTCGCGCTATTCTAATCTCGTACGTGTAATATATTTCTTTCGAAACGGGAAAGCAGATCGTCCCGAGTTGATCGGTTTAATTGTATGTGAGAAACGATCTCCTTGGAGGGCCATCTCCTTGACGCATATATCTTGTAAATATAAGGTGAACGTGTAAAGTTTCGAGTAAGGATTTTTCTAAACCTTGGGATGA